TCTACTGCACCCCCTTTATACCGGCTCTATTATACTCATACACGGTGCCACCCTGCACCCAACCGTATACCAGCTCCCCGGCGCTGATGATGTGTTTGCAGGTGTCAGATATTTGGTAAATGGCCTCGGTCAGCTCCAGTTTCGGACATTTGGGATTTTAGGGCGGGAAGGAACTTTGTTCACGGAAGTAATATATATACACACTATATCACCAGAAGTATTGGGACGCCTTTACCCGCACATGAACTCTAATGGCCCCCAGTCTTAGTCCGTAGGGTTCAGTATTGGGTTGGCTCCGCCCTCTAATGGTATCCCAGTCTTAAGGTGCCCATACACTGCACGATTATCGTACGAGAATCGAGCAGTGTGAACGGAGACGTGCGACCGTTTCTACTGTGCGGTCGCACGTCTTCTGTCGAACCAGCATGTTCGAAAACCAGCCGGGAATCGTACGATTCTCGGCTGGTTAGAACGGTGCTCGGAAGTTTCATGCCGAACGGGCCGGTGTGCACACGCGCACACTGCCCGTTCAGCATTGCGGTCATCGGAAGCCCGCCCCTCAGGGGGGCGGGCTTGCGATGATCGAGAGTGCGATCTGCCTGTCCAAGATGGGCAGATCGTACGTTTTTTTAATACTTGCGATGGTTGTAGAGTGTATGGCCACCTTTAGGCTGGAGGGTTCAGTATTGCGTTGGCTCCGCCCTTTGCCGCTATAACAGCTCCGCCTCTTCTGGGAAGGCGTCCACAAGGTTTAGGGGTGTGTCTATGGGAATGCTGGACCATCTGTGAGGTCAGGTACTGATGTTGGGGGAGGGGCTCGCAGTCTCCGCCTCTAATTCATCCCAAAGGTGTTCTATGGGGTTGAGGTCAGGACTCTGTGCGGCCAGTCACGTTCCTCCTCCCCCCCTCCCCCATCCGTGTCTTTATGGACCTTGCTTTGTGCACTGGTGCGCAGTCATGTTGGAACAGGAAGGGGCCGTCCCCAAACTCCTCCCACAAAGTTGGGAGCATGAAATTGTCCAAAATGTCTTGGTGTGCTGATGCCTTAAGAGTTCCCTTCACTGGAACTAAGGGGTGGAGCCCAACCCCCGAAGTACCGTTCCCCTGGCAACCGCCAAACCCAGACACGCCCTTCAGATTGCCAGACAGAGAAGCGTGATTGGTCCCTCCAGAGACCACGCCTCCTCTTCTCTAGAGTCCAGTGGCGGCGCGCTTTACACCACGGCATCCCACGCTTTGCATTGCACTTGGTGATGTGCGGCTTGGATGCAGCTGCTCCGCCCCCATTCCATGAAGCTCTCTACGCACTGTTGTTGTGCCAATCTGACGGCCGCATGGAGTTTGGAGGTCTGTAGCTATTGGCTCTGCAGACAGTCGGCGCCTTCTGCGCACTGTGCGCTTCAGCATGCCCTGCCCCCGCTCTGTCATGTGACGTGGCCGACCACTTCCTGGCTGTTGCTGTTGTTCCCGGTTGCTTCCACTTTGTTTTCATCCCAGTAACAGGTGACCGCGGCGGAATATTTAGTAGCCGGGAAATGTCACGGACGGACTTATTGCGCAGGTGACAACCTATCACGGCACCGCGCTTGTAGTCACCGAGCTCCTGAGAGCGACCCGTTCTCTCACCTATGATTTGGAGGGGGAGGGGCCCTAATACTTTTGGCAATATATAGTGTATATATGTGACTTCCATCGCCTCCTCTGTGTTGCCCTTCAGGAGATTATCAGCTGTGATGTCATCATGATGTCACAATGGTAAGATGTACTTGCCAAGCGTTACAGATCATCAGCATTGTACGTGGTTGGCCCCCGACCCGCGTCTGTGACCACAATTTTCTCGCCTGCTCGGTTCCATCTGCAGAAACGGCGACACGAGTGCGGAAATAGCTTTGTGATTCATTTGTCACTAGAATAGCAGAACAGTGTAAATAACCAGACCACCCCTCCTCCCACAACCTGCATCCCCCAGACCACCCCTCCTCCCACAACCTGCCCTCCCCGAGGTCAACCAACCCCTAACCGATATATCACCATTTGGTTAATGTTGGAGACCGAAACTCAATGAGTGATTGAGCCCAGGCCCTCCCGATATCAGTGCACTCCCTGTGCCTGGGAACTCCCGATATCAGTGCACTCCCTGTGCCTGGGAACTCCCGATATCAGTGCACTCCCTGTGCCTGAGCCCTCTCGATATCAGTGCACTCCCTGTGCCTGGGAACTCCCGATATCAGTGCACTCCCTGTGCCTGGGAACTCCCGATATCAGTGCACTCCCTGTGCCTG